TACGTAGGAAGTGAGTTTCATTTATTCTGACTCATTCAGCCACTTCATTTTAGGGTTATAATCCTATTAGTCAGTTACACTTTATTTTTGAAGTGCTTTACTTCGTCTTCAAGATATATCTTATGGATATCCGAAGTCAATTACTATACTGTTTATCCGAGGTCAGAACCTTGTGTAAATTCCAGTTAACTTAGTTTACCATAAAAAGTTCCTCAAAGGAAAACATCAATCACAAATTAAAACTCGAACACCAGACAATAATCAATTCAAAAATTTTATACATTAAATATAACAATGTTATTTACATCAATAATGCAAAGAAAATCCTAAACTACTGTGCTGGAGGAGGAGGCTGCTCCTCAGTAGGAAAAGGTGGGGATCTGGGTCCATCTTCAGCAGGCTGAGGCGGCACTTCTACTTCAGGAGGGGCCAGCTGCTGCACCTCGTCAGAGGAGACTGGATGCACCTCGGGAGGCTGCACTTCGGCCATTGCTGCCTAATCCCCAACACCAGCGCCTAACGCTCATTCTTCTTCTTCTCCCTCCACGGCCACCAACTCATCATCAAAGGTTGGAGGAAAAATGGTGCGCCCCTCTGCATCACGCTCCCACCTCAGAGTAATCTGAGGACGGAAGTCCGCACAGAGACTCTCGCCATCTTCCTCCACTCCTTCCTCCTGTTCCCCAAAAGTGACCGTTGTCACGTCCACCTCTGGGTACTGGGCCTTCACCTTCTTTCTGCAGTCGGTGAAGGCCAGGATGGCGGTTGGCAGCTGGTACAGCTTGAGGATGCCCTCGAAGGTGCTAGAGTTGAGGAAGTTGCCAATATGTCCCTCCATCCCGTTGTGCACCAACAGCTCCACATTCTTCTTCAGCTCCACTACCCCTTTCTTCAGGCTCTCGATATATTTGTCTTGAGCCTCGAGCTTCTCTTCGCAAATTTTCCTTTTACGTTCCTCAAGAGAGAGTTTCGTGCTCAAGACACTGTTATCACTCTAGAGCTCGGTCACTGTTGGTGTCACCTCATCCAGCCTCCTCTGAATCTGCTGGTTTTTCTTCTGCAACTCCCCCTTTTCCTTCTGCAGCTCCTCCTTCTCCTTTCGCAGGGCATTGCACTGCCTCTACAAGCTGGCACGATCTCTAACGCTCTCTGTATACTCCTACGCTAGAGCGTTTGTCCAACTCGCACTCTACAATGCAATCAGAGGTCAAACATCAGACATAAGGGACAAAAAACTCAAACATGCAACCGGAGTAAAATCTAGTTATTTCGCATACCTCTAGGGCATGCCTCACAACGGTATACCCCGCATGGCTAAGCACCTCGTTCTTCGCTTGCATCCTATCCACATCAGGAAGCGTAGCGTTGAGAAAGTGCTTCGCCCCAGTCATGTTTGTCGCCTCAAACAAACTTTTCTGGTACGCGTGGGGTGGGGTGCGCTCCCTGCCCCCACTAAGGCCTTGCACCTCGGCCTCTTCCCTCTCCCGGACCTCAGGATCGATTTCTGGAGGAGAAGGTCAAGGCACGAACTCCACCACCTCATCCCCCTTGCTTTCTAGCTCTGCCACCCTCCTCTTCTTCCTCTGGAGCGGAGCTGTCTCCTCGCTTACATCCTCGCTGCCCCCCATCACAGGCTCCGGCCTTGGCTGCACCTCCATGGCCCAGGCAGAAGTGCTGGGCAGGCGCTCTCTCTCGGGCACCCCTCTGTTCGCCACAGCTGAAGTCGTTGACTTCTTCCTTGGCTTCTTTGGGATGCGCAGCCCCCCAGCAGCATTGGTAAACTCCTCCATCTCAGCTGCAAAACAAGCACAAAAGTCAAAACGCATAAACTAAGATCTAACTAACATAGCACAATGTAAACATACACAGACCTTCGCTCAATGAGCTTGGCCCATAGAGCTCAGCAGCCTCTATTGCCTGCG